AATTAAATTTTAATCTTAAATTAAAAAATATAAAGAAAAACAAAAGAATTGAAATCATGTCTAATATGGTAGAATTTTCATTTCAAAACATAAAAAATATTTCCAATTTTCAAACCAAGTATGTACATATATTTTTTGGATTTTGTAAAACAAAATAAAACATGAAAGATTAAAAATTTTGATAGGAACACTCATAGTACCATCCACAGTAGTACCATTATAAACCATTGCCTACCATATCTCAAAGTAAGACATGTAAAAAATAAAAATAAAAAAAGAACAATACTACTACCAAAAGAATTTATATGAACATAATTTAAATTACAATCTGTCAAAAATAGAATGCATATGAACACTATTTAAATTTGTAATGCAAATCAAACCTATACTTTTCTCAATAAATACAAAAATGTGTCTTTGTGCAAGTGTATTCAAGGCATGTCAATAATAAAAGTACACCATTAATGAGAATAAACATAATGAATCTGTAGAATTGGGCTTGAAAGTTGTTTGGGTTGAAATTCTCTTAAAACTTAAAAGATTTGTGGTTTCAAAATCTGCAACTTTAGCAGCCCATGCGCATGTTATTCTAAGCTTATAATTTTTGAACCGTAAGTGCAGCTGGATTTGTTAGACTGATCTGCCTATGTCTGCACGTAAAGTTATGGATAAATTACATTTGCTTTTTCTGCAATCTTTATAATGAAAATACAAAATCGCAAATGGTGCAATATTTATAGTCAAAATACAAAATCACAAATGGTTGGAACAAAAAATAAATTAGTAAAGCAAAAGAAAAAGAAAAAGAAGAACCGAGACATGCATTCAATCGAGAGGCGGACTGCTGAATTCGGGGACTGCTGATGTTCACTGCTGAAGAAGGAAGTTAATGAAGTATATTTTAGATTTGTTTGACGTGGGAGAGTAACGTGGGAGAGGGATATGTATATCTTGGATATGTATCTATTATAGGAGTTGTGGGAGAGTGAAAGTCTTTATATCTATCTGTTATAAGGATATGGATAGATCGGTGTTTTTTGTTTTAAGATTTGTTTGAGGTGGGAGAGTAACGTGGGAGAGGGATATGTATCTATTGTAAGAGTTGTGGGAGAGTGAAAGTCTTGATTTTTTTTTTTATAGCTTTTTATGGATATGTTTTGTTTGGTTTTTTTTTTTTTTTTTTTTTGACAGCTTTTATGGATGGGTTTGTTAGGAGTTTTTATTATTCCGAATGTCTTTGAGAGGAGAAGAAATGAACTATAAACTAAAAAGAGAGCTGCCACGTATTTTTTAAAATTATGAGAATTTTAGAATAACATTTTGAAGGCTTTTGGAATCACCACTACATTCTATTATATATAGAGGGATATCATATATATCTTTTATAAAATTATAATAATATCCCTTCTTCAAATTATAATAGTCCCTCTATTATAAATTTTCTTTCTAATTACAATGAACCTACAAAAATAAGTCCTTCTATTATACACCTCCAAAAGGGGTGTACCATATACTAGTTATTACTTTATGATATTGATATTATAAATTTTCATAACTAAATTATTTTCATTCATAACTAAAATGACTACTATATAAATTATAACCAAACAACACATCTTCAATTATAACCCAAAAATAAATAATAAAAAAATTACAATAAGTCATAACTAATATCAGAATGAGTCATTACGAATCATTACTTGATGTATAATCAAAGACCTCTTCAATCATAACCAAAATAACAATCACAAGAAGTTATAACTGAGTTATATCCAACACTATAATGTGTCATAATTGAAGACCACAAAAATCATAATTGCGACATATGATAGACATTTTTTTTGCAGTGTGTTTTATAAAATTTCTCTACTAAAATATATTATTTCTATCTCAACTTATCTTCTTTTTTAATTTTTCAATCCACCAAAAAATTAAAATAGTTACTCCACAATATTTGTATAAAATTTAGTCTCAAATCCTTTTATTTAAAATTCACATTTATCCAAATAAACTCTTAATATTTACGTTTAGTAATATCTCATTATTGTTTATTATAAGGAAAAAACAAAATCAATATTGTTATTAATTTATGCCCCTTTTTCACTGAATTCCTGACTCCACCATTGAGTTCACTGCTAGAGGTTATTCACATGATGCGGCATCTATCATGTGGTTGGGGATGGGTTTTTTTTTATATTGTGGATTTCTATAGGATAGAGGTATTGAGAAATGCAAGGGACATCTTGTTAAGTCACCAATTATCCCCAAAGTGTAAGTTGTTAGGAAATGGATCTAACAATGTATATCAAATTATTCATTACCCTCCCTTATGTGCAAACCCATCTTGTTCGTGGTGATGCAAACAAACATAAATAGAGAGATTTTTTTAGTGCAATCAAGAGAAGAAAGAATGAAAACAGGAATCAAAGAGACTTGAACCTCTGACCTCCCCCAACCTGACACTGACATCAAGTTAAGTCATCAATTGTGCCAAAAGCTTAAGTTGTTAGGGAATGGGCCTAACAATATATATCAAACCATCCTTGCAAATCTTTTTTATCCTATTTTAGTCTTTGTTCCAGTTATGTGCAACTTTTCTTATGAAATCTTAAGGCTTTGTTTGGATCATGAATTTGGGTACAGATTGGGAAAAAGAAAGGGAAATGGAGAAAAAATTTAGCTTATATTTCATTAACATTTCATCCACTTTTTCCCCTATTCCAAATCTTGCTTATATTTCATTCACATTTCATCCACCATTTCCGTTTCCTTTTCCAAATCCCTATCCAAATCCATAATTCAAACACAGTGTAAAGCATTGGTTTATGTCACTCCATTAGCTTCAATTATTGAATTAGAAGAAAGTTTGCATTTGGCATGTTTTGGAGGAGAAGATAAAACATGGGAGGCAAATGAAAATTTCATTGGAAAAGTAGGACTAATTTGATATTTCCCCTGTAGTTTTGCTGCTTCATTAGAATATATCTAAGAATTGAAGCCTGTAATTTTGGGGTCTCATACATTGTTGCAATTTCAGATTGCAGATGTTTGGTCCTGCGGTGTGACATAGTATGTGATGCTAGTTGGTGCATATCCTTTTGAGGACCCTGATGAACCAAAAGACTTCCGGAAGACAATACCGGTATTTCTTTGGACCTTTTATGACATCAGTATCTACTAGTTGTATGAGTAATTTTACTGTGCACGAGAAATTTTCATTCTCTTTTCTGCAGAGAATTCTTCAAGTCCAGTATTCTATTCCAGATAATATCCAAATATCTCGTGAATGTCGACACCTAATCTCGAGGATCTTTGTTGAAGACCCCACAAAGGCTAGTAATTTCAGTTTTTTAAGAAAGTTGGCTTGTTTAGTATTTTTTTTTTCAATCCTCTATGTAATTGTGTGCATGTTTTAACCAAGATTTTCAAGATAGGGTGATTGTTTTTTTGAAGCGTTGTGTGGGGATTCTGAGGGAACATATTCCTCCTCTTTCCATGAAGTGGAGCATCTTGGGAACGAAAAAAAAAAAAAAAATTGAAGCTTGAATGTTTCCTCCATGTTGCTTTGGACTCTAAGAAAGGCTATAGCTGAGGGTTGTATAAAATGTCTTTTAGGCCCTAAGAACTAAGTGGAATTGGGAGTAAGAGCAGCCACAGAAGGATGAGAATCCTGTACTCTGAATTCTGCTTCAAGAGAGCATGCCATAGCATGCATATTGCTATGATTATGATTGCAATCTTAATTACATATATGAGGGATCTGTACCAAGAGCTGTTATGGTAGTGCACTTTGTTATACAGGATTATAGTCATTGGAATTTATCCATTAATTCATTATGGGTATTTCACCATTTATTAAAATATTTATGCTATGGATTTGAGCAGCCTCATTATTTAGTCTAGTTTTGTCGCTGTATGAGCCTAATGCTATTTGATTTACATATGCGACAGAGGATCACCATTCCTGAGATAAGGAACGACGAGTGGTTTCTAAAGAACCTCCCTGCAGACCTCATGGACGAAAAGACGATGAGCAACCAGTATGAAGAGCCTGATCAACCCATGCAGAGCATTGATGCAATCATGCAAATAATTTCCGAGGCTACCATACTGCCAGTTGGCCTGTACGATCTAGACCTGGACATGGATGATGACATGGAAGATTTGGACTCAGATCCTGATCTTGATATCGACAGCAGTGGAGAGGTCATCTATGCAGTCTGATTACAATTTCTTTCTGGGGCTTCAGAAATCAGTTTCCTCAGCTATGAGTGAACATTCTGGTCTCTCGGGTTTGTAATGAAAGTTGAGCTTTACAATGCATGATAGAATAGCTCATAGATATCCTAGTGATCACGGTATGAGATCTAGTCAGTCACTTGTTAAAGGTATCTGCATAATCTGCATAATATATTGTGCTTTTGTAGGGAAGAAAGTTGAGTTTTATCCCTTTGCTAGTAGAATATATACAACCCCTTACTTTCGTCGAAGTCATATTTTTATTTTATTTTATTGTGTTTTTTGCTTGATTGTGATCTCTCTCTCTCTCTCTCTCTCTCTCTCTCTCTCTCTCTCTTCTTTTCCCCTTTTTCTTTGTTAGAACTTTCAGTGTTGTATAAATTTCTACTCCGTAAACAGTTGTGTTGAGCTCTTCTATAAGTTCCTCCAGTCCTCTCTCTCTGGGGTGTTTTTTGTTTTTTTGGTAGTACACTTTGGGGCCTTCTTCTGGCTGCTTAGAGCAGTCCCTCTTGTATATATCGAGGTCAATGTGCCAAGAACCCCATGGTCACCCACTGCACTTGCATGCAGAAAATGTTGGATTTTAAGGGAACCGTTGACAAGACTCAATAATGATTTTTAATGTAGTAGGCGAAGCCCTGGACACCCCCGTAAAAAAATAAAAGTTAAAATACACGGCAAAGACAGGTTACCTTGGTTTTCGACTGAAGGTATTTCAACACCATGTTTATCGAGTGCCCAAGTTTCAAAAAGATGGAAGAGGCAATCAACCCAATTGGAATTCAGGCTGAGGAAAATAGGACCAAATCCTATACAAAATTTTGGCTACATCAAGATAAGTATTTCCAAGATTTTTGGTCAATTGATCTTTCAACAATTTCAATTCATAGCATTACATCATTCTCTAAGAATTTTGAAATTGTGTTTGTACACAATACAATACAGTTAATAGCTTCCTATACATAGGCATCAGAACACAGTTAATAGCTTCATATACATAGGCATCAGAACGAAAAACAAAAGCATAATCAAGTGCTCAAGTCATTCTCCCAGGAGGAACTCTTCCAAAGAACATTGATTTTTTTAGCTTCTGCAACAAAGATTGTGAGCCATTTCAGGTTTACGTTTCCGCTCGGAATAAAAAATCTTTAGCTTGGTGAAGGCTCATCAAGGATGAACATCATTTAAGCCAGTCTAGGTTGACATCTTCTTTAAGCACATGAAACTTCAGATTGGGGAGATGAATCTTATAATTCTCCCAGAGATAACCAGTTTCTTCATCACATATCAAATCCTCCAATTGCTTAAGATTCTTCACAGAGGATGGCAACTCTGACAATCCACGGCCACCTCTCACGTTCAGCTTTCTTAGGCTGGATAACTCCCCCATCCGTTCAGTCAATTTACTTATGCTTATGCAGTCAGATAAATCAAGAAATCTAAATTTCTGGAGTCTTCCAATTGACTCGGGCAGCTCCAAAAGTTTTGTGCAGGCATGAAGCCTTAGCACTTCTAAATTTTCTAGCTTTCCAAAAGCTTCAGGAAGTGCAATGAGCTCATGACAGTTGGTGATGTCAAGCCTCTTAAGGCTGCTGATATTGCAGAGCCATGCTGGAAATTCCACTAAATCATTGCAACAGTCAATAACAATCTCCACAAGATTTGGCAACATATCGGCAATCTGGATAGTACAGTTCCCAAAAGCGTCATCAAACTTGCACATAACCAAGGATATTTTCTGCAAATTTTTTAGTTGTAGCATGGTTTTAGCAATGGAAGAGATTGAAATATGCTCGAATCTGATTCTCCTTAGACTGGATAAATGTCCAAGTAGTGGAAAGTTGCTGATCTCAGCTGAGCAAAAACCGTAGTTGGTGACGATCAGAACCTTCAATTGGTCCATTTTCTCCATCAACAGAGGTAAGGTGTAGTTCCTTATTTGGATGTTCAGCAGTAGAACTTCAACTTTACTTAATTGCATGTTGTGCCCGTTTGAGATTTCACCTGCAACGAATTTTCTGCACTGTGTCACTTGTCGGAAAAGAGACAAATAGCACATATTGTGCGTGAGATTATTTTAAACACTTGTAAGGCTAAATTGTTCAATTTGAAACAATAGGGACCAAAGTTAAATTTAGGTCAAACTATAGGAGTTAAAAGTATAATTTATCCTAATTTTAAATACACAAAGATAAGCACACCTGTGGATATAGACACAAGGCGGATAGGATGCTGCCCTTGTTCAGTCCACCACTTGGGAAGATCATTGCCACCGATGTCCATTATTAATCTACTCCGGTGTATGGGATTTTGGTCAATCTGGTGGGTAGCTACCTCTCTAAGTAGATCATGCTGCGTGACAAAATGCTCATTGTAGTAGCCATTGATCTCGCTTGCATCTTTCCTGTGAATGGGAATGAAATTGGATGGTTAATATCAATTCATAGGTATATACAACAATAGCAAATATATAATTCTATGATTAGTCCATTAATTGGAAGAAACAACAACAATAGCGTCCCTGCTGCAGTATGATGAGAGGCTATACCTCCTGGCACACTGGATTTAACATAGGCATTCATGCAGAGCATTATTCATCTTACTAGTAAGCGCACACACACACACACTAACATACAAGACATCTCTTAACAAAAAGCAATACCTTGTAGGTACAAGATTGAGGAGATTCCGATCAGACAGTTCATGGATGTTGGCAAAGGCACTAACTTCATCAAGGTTGTAAAGTTCCACCCACATGTCCACAAGTGCCATGGCAGGGATTCTTTGGTCCTCAGGAAATGAAGCCAGGTCCAAGTAACACTCCTTGATTTTTACATCCAAGTCATCTAAGGTGGTTTGGAGACGCTTAAGTATATCAGTGGCTCCATTTGGTGCTGCGTCAGAATAGAAAATAGATTGCCCTTCAGACCACCGGTTGAGCTTATTCTTCCAGGTGACCTCAGATTCTCCTTTGAGTGATTTGCCAACCACTTCAAGGGCCAAAGGAAACCCTCCACAGCCTCTCACTATCTGCAGTTCAATGCTGCCAAACAAGTCAGCAAAGGGATGCTCTATTTGCAAGTCTTTTGACGCAATGAATTTAACATCTGTAGTTGTGAGGGGGTGATATTGAATCTCATCATCATCATGCAAATTAATATTTCTAAATAAGTTTTTCACAACTATCTATACTTATATTATATCAAAACCATATCAATACTATATATACAATTACAAGATGTTATGTGATCTTTGTGTTTCTATATTTTTAATTTTATTTAATATGAAAATATACATGTCACAATATGATTTGCTATTAAATCAATAGGTCAGAAGTGAATATTTGTTTCTGACCTTGTTAACAAGATCATCTGGTATGTAGGAGGAGCTCCCACCTTGTGGAAATGCTAAATGACAGAAAAGAGCCATGGCTTGTTCATCTTTCAACAAGGTCAATCTATATGTTGAAGAAAATCTTGGAAATACAGATCTGCTAGAAGAACTATAACTATTGTGATTTGACCTTCCTCCTCTATTGCAACTATTGGTTTGATTGTGGAATCGACTACCATCACGATTACCAGTGTTGTTATAGAATTGTCCTCTGCCTTGATATCCTGAAGAATTGCCTCAATAAAAGTTTGTAGATGAAGCACCATAACCAGATGAAAAGTTAGGGTTTGATCCTTTTGAAACTGAGTAAACAACCATAAGAGAATGATCATCTGTATGCTTGATCTTGTTTTCAATATAAATAGATTCAGAACACAATAAAGAACACAACACATCCACAGAAATCAATTTAGATCTTCCTCTAATCATTGTTTTGAAAGCATCGTATTTATCTGGTAGGCCATTGAGAATGAGTAATACCTTATCTTCATCAAGAACACCTGAAGATGCAGGAGACAATTGATCAGAGATTGCTTTAAACTGTTAGAATAGCTTTAGCAGAATAGCTTTAGCTTTATCATTATTAATTGTATAGCTTTATGTTAGAATAGCTTTAGCTTTATTATTAATTGTATAGCCTTCTTTATGCTTTCGGTGGTAGTGGGTTCTTTGGTATCCAATGCCCATATTTCTCTCTATAAAGAGAGACTTCATTCTCTTTGTAAATAAATGCATATACAAACATTTCAGAGTCTCCCTCTCGCTCTATAGCTTCTCTCACTCTCTCAAACTAATCTTACATAAACTATGCCAGATACTCTTCAATTGAGAGAGAATTCTTGGTGAGAGTCTGTAACTTGTTCTTTAATTGATAAACATGAGACCTTCATAATGAAGTAAATCGTTTTTCCAGGGCTTGCCATACTTGAAAACAGTGTGCGATGAAAAACAGATGAATAAATTGAAGGAGATAGTGTTGCTATTAGACAGTTCAAGAGATGTGCATCAATTACCTTCCATTGAGTAAATTATGGATTTGGTATAGATTTTCCTTTCTAATATGTGATTTGTTCATCAGGACAAGCAATTGATCTGGTTGCAATGCCAAGAAGATTGGTGGCTTGCAAAACATTTTGCAATTGACTCTTCTATATAAGAAAATTACTTGAATCTAGCTTCCTTTCGTGCGCCGCTTCACTACATTGCACCCGCGTGCGCCAAAACGACTATTGTGCGCCGCGCCTGCGCCAGTTCGCTACCGTGCGCCGGCTGCCTTCCTGCTAACGTGCTCCTCCCTACACTCTGCTAATGTGCGCCGCTGACATCATCGCTGACATCATCTCTGTCCAGCAGCCTTTTCTGGCTATTTTCGACCTTCCGGACTCACTGGTACACTCTGTTTTACCAAATTTTGCTCCTACAGGTCTCTTCCTGTTGCTTTAACCCTACTTAACTAGTATTATGGATCGTCTTGACACCTCCCATCCCATTTCCGTTATTCTGAATGGTTCAAACTATGTTCTGTGGGCCCAAGCCATGTCTTCCTTTCTTAAAGGCAAGAAGCTCTGGCGAATTGTCACCGGGGATGTGACTAAACCAGTCAAAGACAGTGCCACTACTGAAACTCCTGTTCATACTGCTACATATGAAGACCGACTTGAGGAATGGGACAGTAAGAATTACCAAATCATTACCTGGTTTCGTAATACCTCTGTTACCTCTATCAGTCTTCAATTTGGCCGCTTTCAGCTTGACTCTGTAACTACTCCTGAGAAAGACATCTGGGATTTTTTGAAAGAACGATACCAGACTACTGGTCTTGCCCATCAATATCAACTTCAGAACCAACTTCACCGCATGCGCCAAGAATCCACTCAGTCCATTAATGACTTCCTTTCTCAAATATACTCTGTTTGGGATCAGCTTGCTCTTTCAGAACCAACCTGGCATGACCCCGAAGATGCAGTTTTATTTACTAACCATCGCAACCAGCAAAGGTTGGTGCAATTTCTCATGGCTCTTACCCCCTCTTTTGAGCCTGTACGTGCCTCTCTGCTTCATCGCCATCCCTTGCCCACTCTTGAACAAGCCATTTCTGAGTTGCTATCAGAGGAGACGCGTCTCGGTACTCTTCAAACTCATCATGTGGACTCTGTTCTTGCCACTCCTCCGTCCCGGCCATCATTTACCCAGCGGCCAACTGCTTGCCTCTATTGTCAGAATCGGGGCCTTCCTTCAACCCATCTCCTGGTCAATTGCCCTGTCAGATCCTGCCGCTACTGCAACAAACTTGGTCCTGGTCATCTGCAACAGGATTGTTTTCGCAATCCATCCCGCTCATCCTCCAATAGCCACTCCTCTCGCGGTGGCTCTTCCCGGGGAAGTTTTCATCGTTCCGGCAACCAGTCTCATCACACTACTACTTCTGCTTCCGGGAATCAGTCTTATCACACTGCTGCTGCTGCTTCCGGGAATCAGTCTCATCACACTGACACTGCCCCCTCTGCAGGGTTCTCTGAGTCACCTGCTCCATCTACCCCTCACTTTTCTCCAACGGATGTAGAGGCCATGCTCAAACAACTTCTCTCCTCATCTGGTACAGCTCCTCCTACTGCTTTGTCTGTAATCCCAGGTAACTCTTCTTGGTATTTTGACTCTGCCTGTTGTAATCATATGACCTCCAGTTCTACTATCTTTTCTTCCTTATCTTCATCTCCTCATATTCCCTCAATACATACTGCTGATGGTTCCCTCATGTCTGTTCGTCATGTTGGTACTGTTTCCACCTCTTCTTTATCTCTACCTCACGTTTATCATATCCCTGCTCTTACCTTAAACCTTATTTCCATTGGTCAATTATGTGAACTTGGTCTAACTGTCACCTTTTCTGCTACTGATTGTTTGGTACAGGACCCTCAGACAGGGCAGACTATTGGGATCGGCCGTAAGCGTGGACGTCTCTATGAACTCATTCACCTTCATGTTCCTGCCTCTCCTCAAATTGCTGCACCTACATCTCCTTCCTCATTATCTCCCTTTCATCTTTGGCATTGTCGCTTAGGGCATATTTCTGTTAATCGCTTAAGGTCTTTGGTTTCTAGTGGACAGTTGGGTCATGTAATTCCCGATAATTTCGATTGTATACCCTGTCAACTTGCCAAACAACCTGCTTTTTCATTTAATAAGAGTACTTCTGTTTCTCTTGCCCCTTTTGATCTTATACATTCGGATGTTTGGGGGCCCTCCCCTACTACTACTATGGGGGGATCCCGCTATTTTGTTGTTTTTATTGATGATTTTTCCCGGTTTACTTGGCTTTTTCTCATGAAAAATAGGTCTGAACTTAAAAACATTTATTATCGTTTTGCACAAATGGTCCACACCCAATTCTCCAAAACCATCAAATTTTTTCGCTCTGACAATGCTATGGAATATCGGGATTCCGATTTCCTTTCCTTTCTTCAGCATCATGGTACATTGCCTCATCGTTCCTGTGCTGGCACATCCCAGCAAAATGGCCGCGCTGAACGGAAACATAGGCATATTCTTGACACTACTCGCGCTCTTCTTCTCTCTTCTTCCTGCCCTGAACACTTTTGGGGAGAAGCTGCCCTCACTGCTGTTTACACTATCAACTGTGCTCCTACCCCTGTCATCCATAATCAAACTCCCTTTCAACGTCTGCATGGCACTCCCCCTCCTTACGCCAATCTCCGGGTTTTTGGCTCTGCCTGCTTTGTTCTACTCCAATCCCATGAACACACCAAGCTTGAACCTCGCTCTCGTCTTTGTTGCTTTCTTGGGTATGGCATTGAACATAAAGGCTTTCGCTGTTGGGATCCTCTCTCTAAACGTCTTCGTATCTCCCGCCATGTCCTTTTCTGGGAGCACCAAATGTTTTCCTCGTTATCCTCCTTTCACTTACCCGCACTTTCCACTACTGTACTGTTTACTAATCCTTCCATAAATCTTTTCTCTGATGATTTTGATACAGGTTCCTCCTTCATTGAGACGCCCTTGCTCACTCCTGATCCTGTTCAGCCTGCTCTCCCTGAAGGTCTACCTCCTATTGCCACACCTCCTTCTCCACCGGTTCTTCCTCCCACTGATCCTCCTACGGGTCGACCACGCCGGGTAACTCAACCTCCTATCCATCCTCCTGGCCGCTTTCATGATCTTGTTTCCAAACTCAACTTGGTTGATGCTTTCCCTCCTTGAGTTTGCGGGGGGATGTTAGTTTATTATTGTAGTGTTAGTTAGTTTATTATTGTATAAAGGTTAGTGTATATCAGTACTATTAGAATATGATAGTTAGTGTTAGTCATAATGAATGTTCCCATTACCTTTCTTCTTTCGGTGCAAATTGGTGGCACCCTATGTAGCTTTTCCTCTCTATAAAAGAGAGTGTAAATCTCCTAATAATACACAAACACATTCTGATGGCTCTATTGAACGCTACAAAGCTCGTCTTGTTGCCAAGGGTTTCAACCAGGAATATGGTATTGATTATGAGGAGACATTCTCTCCTGTTGCTCGGCTTACCTCTGTTCGCAGTTTACTTGCTGTTGCTGCTGCTCGCCACTGGGGGCTCTTTCAGATGGATGTCAAAAATGCTTTCCTCAATGGTCATCTTCTTGAGGAGGTCTACATGCAACCTCCACCTGGGTCGACTTTTCAACCTCATCAGGTTTGCAAACTATAGCGTGCTCTCTATGGCCTCAAGCAGGCGCCTCGTGCTTGGTTTGCTACGTTCAGTTCTGCCATTCATGACTTCGGGTTCACCTCTAGCTCCTATGACTCTGCTCTTTTTATACGGACTATTTCTCATGGTACCACTCTTCTTCTTCTGTATGTGGATGATATGATTATCACTGGTAATGATACAGCTGGTATTCTCCACCTCAAACAATTTCTCCACCAACAATTTGAGATGAAGGACCTTGGTACTCTTAACTACTTCTTAGGCCTTGAAGTCTCTCATGATTCTACTGGTTCCTATTTGTCCCAGGCCAAATATGCATCCGATCTTCTGGCTCGTGCTGGTATTACTGATTGCAAAACTACCTCTACTCCAGTTGATCCTCAGATTCGTCT